TGAGCCTGAACGACGATTATAATGCTATTTCTCTCTGATGTGTCCGTACAAAGTACTCTTTCAGTTAATGAGAATTTTTTTATCGATGCAGTAGACGCCAAATCTGATAAAGAACCAAATTCTTTTAACGTGCATCACAAGAACAATAAGGAAGTATACCTTGAGAATTTACACGGGATCAACAGTATAATTTCTATGCCATATTAGACCGAACGGCGCCAATATGCTTTCAGAAAAATCACAATATTTACATAAAAATGAGTAGTACTTGACTGCTCATGTAAGTTCACAATATCCACTTCTGCCGTATTTGAATATTTAACATTCTTGTTAAAACTCGATTGCTTTTAAACACTCCGCTACATCTTGAGCGCGCAAGTTAGTATCCATAAGACTGATTTTTCGAGGAGTCGTATAGTTTTGGACGTATCGATTTGAAAATACCCCATTTGAAATGTATACCAATAACGCGAAAAACAAAATTCGTGACCGTTTTCAAGAAATCAGAGACAAGATCGACGTTGCAGATGATAGAGCAGACAACGCTTTGGACGTGCTCAAAGAGGCGAAAAGAAAGGCAGATGAGCTCGAATTGGACCGCGACTCATGCAAGAGGAAAATTGAACTTGCCAAAGCAAGTTTGGCGGAGAGGAACAACGAGCTGAAGAAAAAGCTCAAAAAGCTGGAAGACCTTGAGGATAAAGACAAGGTCGAAAGCGAACTTGTAAAGACCCTTGAAAATATTGAACTGGATGGGGACGAGAAGTTAAACAGCTTGGAGAAGCAGTTACAGAAGATTAGCAACATCGCTGACAAAAAGGAATCGGAGAACAAAGAATCAACGCTACGCCTGGAACAGTTGGAGAGTGAACTTGAAAAGGTAAGAGTTTATCACAACGCGCCCAAGCTTGGTTAGCGCTACGAAACTGTTTCGGCTTTACATGTTGAATAGAAACAATGACTTAACTAGCAGTGTTAAGCTTTTATTTGAGTAATTCAGTGCTTAGTATTGCCAAAACCAGCCGTTCTTGTAGACAAAAGAGGCAATGCTGGCACCCAAGAGAATTGCCTCATCTGATAGTTAAGTACTTCACAAAGAAATGACGTGCTCCTTTAAGATTACATGCAAATGATTTCACGAAACCCTCCCACAGCGAGTCATGTCCGACAAAATGTTTTTTTTCACGCGTCATTTCTTCGCTCCGAGGGAACTAATGTTTTTAGATTTACCGAACCGAATAAATAGATAACTAAGTGAGGGCTCTTTACTCGATTATTCGACTCTTCCTATCGTTTTTCTTTTAGACGCTTTTATACGTACGACTTAGAAATGATTTCCGTTGCATTCCCACGATCACAGCTTCGTTCTTTCTCTGCGGGAAGTGAAACGTATCCCGACTGTTATAAATAGATTTTGCAAGCAATACACTTTTTATGTCTTGGCAACTTCTTTGCCCTGTTTTGGCAACTCACTCCGATCTGAACAAGGGAAATTCAGTGTTACTGAAGCACTATTTGTACAATTGAGACAGTTGCTGCCGGCATCAAAACGAATATAACATTTAGGAAAAACTCCACGAGATATTGCGACATTGGACTATACCGGAACTATTTCACATACAACGACTACCCGCATATTTCTCGGCTCCGTAAGCAAAATTTTTCAAACCTAACTGATCCAAAGAAAGACATCGGGGTAAAACTTCCGCACAGCCCCATACTATTGTAAAACAAATCTGTTTTCCCAATGGCAATGTATTGTTTTCTCTATCCAAGAACTAAATGCATAATGTAGGATGGGGCTGTGCGGAAATTTTGCTGACATCAGTTTTTGGGACTGACGTCAGTATGAAACAATTGCGTATATAATTAGTTTATCCTGGATAAGATTCATAAGCATAAAACACAAAAGCAAATGAATGCATTTTGAACTTAGCATTCATTGACGCTCGCGTGTTCTGTCTCGACCATCTACCTCGCTAAAAATTATGCAGGACATTCGTGATCTGATGAATGAGGCACGTTTCTTGATGAAAAATTTGCTTTCCGGGTGTTTAGGAACAGGTCTCTTCCATTCGTCATCAGTGGCGGATCCAGACCTTGAGCTAAGGAGGCGGGGGGGCGGGGGGCGGTTTTTTTGTCGCTTGCCTTGCTGGGTCCCTCCAATGGTTATCGTATTGCTTTTAACTCTCTTTGGCAATCACCTGCTTTCCTTGACCTTTGCAGGTGTTCGGAAGAGAAGGCGGCGCTTTGGAGAAAGCTGAAAAACTGCAAGAATGTATTCAGCTAGCAAGGAGCCAAATGGACGGACTTAAGGAAAGGGAAGAGGGAGCTTACGAAAGGGAAGACGAAAGCGAAAAAAAGCTGACCTTCCTCACACAAGAACTGCACACCAAAGCCTCAGAAGCGGAGGAAAAAGAGCGACAAGTCAATAATTTAACACTCTACCGAGACAGGATTAAAGCCGAGATTCAGGAAGAGAGGAAAAAGATCCAAAAGACACAAGCAGAGATAGACAGCCTTGATGACTTAACAGACGATTTCTGATGATATTCATAACAAAATCGTACAACAAGGGTACATGTATGCTGCAAAGTCAGATTTAGACGCAGAGAAAATTTAAAATTAATGCACTTTAGATGCTGAAGTTACCAGTCGAAGTGAGGATTACGTATTCAGAGTAATCTCACTTCCCAAAGAGTGATGCTTTCAGAGAAAAACGCGGATTGTGTTGAAATATTCCGGAAAAGTCCGGGACATGTAGAGTATACTACATAAAATGCCTTTCATTTTTAAGCCTGCTGTCCAGACAGTAAACATAGCAGTAGGCTCAAGAAGCAAAAAGTCATGTTACTGGAGAGCTGTTCCTAATATAATGGTAAACGTTTTGATAAAAAACTGTGCTTGCGTGGAAATATTTTTTGAAAACTCGAAGAAAAAAAGTATGATTCAATTCACTAAGACTCTCCCAAATACTTAAAAATACTCAGACTAATGCTAACACAATGCCCAGTAATCGCGATGGTTAATTATGCTGTCTAAAGTTCAGGAGTAAAATCGCATCATTTCAAATTTTTTCGTTCGGTGCAGACTTGAAGAGAAAGCTGAAACTGGCAATTGCACTTCTTTACGAGTGTAGCTTTCCTCCAAGCATGCCGCTTGTCAAATTCACACTCACGTTATCCCCGAGAGCAACCCGACCGGCCAGGTCACATGACTGGTCGTACATGTCAGCGGCCTTCGGCGGAACCTGTTGTCTTTCAACTAAAAATGGACATTTGTCAACGCCGATTTTGAAAAGCGCCAGTGTCTCCGCATCATTCCTTGATAAATGCACTCCAAAGAAATTTCGTACGGTCCTGCCATACCAGCTGGACATCGCACTATACAACGGCAAGAATTTCCCTTTCCACTTCTGTTACGATAATTAAAGCACACTTTTTAACTAGAATGCGCAGATGTTACCGTTGAAGTCTCTCTCCGGTGTAATAATTGTAGCATTTAAGAGAGATGGGGCGACTTTTTCTCATGGGTCTAACGTGCGCGAAGTCATAAACCCTTGCGCGTTGGTTGGAAGCGTTATCTGCCACAGTTGAAAGTATGATTCAAAGTTTCTGTGGGAAGTTTCAATTTAAAAAAAAATTGATAAGGTTTCACAGTGAATCTCAAGCCTCGTAAATCTAAGCTCTCTTCCATAATATAGCACATCGAATTTCTCCCCAATGGTATCACCCCTGAATCAAAAATTAAAGTCATTAGAGTAAAGAAATGTTGCGAACTCGAGACGTTCCTGATTGTTAGACAATTTCTCCTTGAGAGGACCCTAGGAAATATTTGAAAGAACAGTACGGAGAGCTTGCACACTGGTGTTAAGGTGTAGAGGGCCAGAGGGCAACCGCGCATTGCTCAAGTCGTGATTTTTTAAGCTTTGTTTTTGGGGTTATGTTCATGGAAACTAATCAAACGGACATTTAAGTAAGTACAGCCCATTTTTATCTTTACGAAATTATTTTACCTCAACCGTAAAGCAAATAGTCATTTTTATCAATTTCAAATATCTTTTATATAAAAAATCTGATTAAGTCTCTCTCCTTAGATAATATTACAAACCCTCATAAATCCTATATAATCCTATAATTACAGTGTACAATTAAAACAAGATCCCTCTTGAGGCTGTTTCTCACCAAATTGAACCTGTCTAAAATAACAATAACCATCACAGGCCAACGATAGCACTTAATTTTACAGCGTGGAAAAATAGTGGCAAAATCAAGTCTTGCTCGGGAGATGGTTGTATAAATAAACAGCAAGTGAACAGTTTTCTCAAACAAAATTACCCCAAAAGTATTCTCCGCAGTTGAACGGGGCAAACTTATCTTCTCTCACCCCACTGATCATCCATTAGTTTACCAAAATGTCTCTTTATCACACTCAAAATTTCACTGATCTCGACATCCAACAAATAACATATTTCCAGCTACTTTAAATATATATATATATCCGTAGAGTCACAAGTGAAAATTACCACATCAGCAGATGCCAACGAGGTCTTCCCTTGAGCCCTTATTCGTTCCATATAACCATCAAATTCGTATCACAGTTTAGTCTTAACCCTTTAACTCCCAAGATCTTATTAGTAATTCTCCTTACTGTCTTCCATACAGTTCTGTGATGTTAGTTTGGAGAATTTGGTATTGGATCAACTAATAATCCCCTAATTGATATTTTTCTGTATTCTCATGAATTGTCTGCTCGATATTGTATTGATATTGCAAGGAGAAATTCTGTCTTGGTCACTTCTTTATCACCCATTACGACTGCGCAAAGTCTGTAATAATCGAACACTCGAATCAGCACGAACGTTAATATGAACTCAGCAATATTGGAAAAAAAAGAGGTCAAAAGTGTTCTTACTCTTCTTTTTTTCATAACAAATTCAAAATTACATAAATGGTGATAAGAAAAAAGGAGACTAGATTCTGATGGTAAAAAGGCTGGAAAAATAGCAATTATCTCAATGTAAAGTAATTTTCAACTCTGTTAAACGGTACAAAATTTGCAGTATGAGGCGGAAAGCCTCAAAACCGGAACTCAAGGATGGAACGATGCAAAATCTGCGGAGGACTGCAAACGGGGCAATGAAGGTTTTGGCTCGAGATTCATTGAGCATTCACACCACAAAATAATTTTTGCACTGTGACAAACCATTGACGTCTTTTCGCCATTTCACTGACCACGTACCATTTCACCAAGGGGGAGGGTGGAAGCATACCTCCAAATTACAATCGTCATCTTTTATCCAGTGCGGTGACCTCGTTCCATTTCACCATGAGGGGAACTTTGGGTGTGTCTCGTTAGGCATACACCCCTCACCAAAATCCGTATCCCTGCTCCCAATAATCGTCGCGGTTTCCTCTTCGACCCCGCCCTCCCCGCCCTCCCCTTCCTCCACCACCGCCCCCTCGTCCTCTTTCTCGTCTCTCACCCCCTCCCTCGGGACATTCCCGGGCAAAGTGGCCACTCCCGCCACAATTGTAACAACCGTCACCGCCTGTGAAAGAGAGGAAGAAGATTCAGGTTATTGCTTGACACCAAGGTTGATATACAATGCAATCCCACATGAGGTTGATAGTAGGTAAAAATGACCATTTTTTTTTTGTGGCACAAAACAACCCTGTTTGGTTTTTGAATCCCTTCTCGTTTCGATCATGTCACATCCACCCACACGACAGCGTCTCATTAAAAAGTATCTGCTCTCGCTGGAGAGACAAAATCTGGCTATGAGGCATGGGCCTGAACTTAACCCAACTTGAAAAGATCCCGATAAAAAACCCTAAAGTTCGTTAACCGGCTCTAACCACAGACGGACAAATCTAGCAACGAGAAGCATTTTTCAATCTCTTTTGGGTGTTCGCTAGCTAGAGCTTCAAACGTAAAACTGAGTGGTTTCCTCATGAATTAATAAGTGTGTACCTCTTCCTCCACTACCTCTCTCCCCCCTGTCGTTGTAACCATTGCGTTCACGGAATTCTTCATAGCGTTGCGCCATGTCCGCTAATTCATCGGGAACTTCCTATGATCAATGTAAGATTGGTCGAAAGGGGAAAATCAGGTTTTGGTGTTTATTAAACAAGTTAAAATTACTAAATTGGTAAATGTCTACAAAAGTTGTTCCGCGGTACATTTGGAAGGGGTCTTGGCGAGGGAGGTTATTTTATGATTTTATTACAGTTGTTGTGTTTGTTGTTGTTGTTGTTGTTGCTGTTTTATTTACTGCTGCCAAAATCTGCAGCAAAACATGGCGTAACTGCATTTATAACAAAGGATTTTGTTTCATGCGCACTTTGACATATTGGAATTGACATTTGTGAGGAAAATTGACATCGATTACCTGATTGGCCTCCACCATGATACTGATGAGTTTGTGAGCCATTCTCCAGTCCTCTCGAGTCACAAAAGTAAGCGAAGTGCCTTTCTTACTACAAGAAGCAAAAAATTCGCGGACTAAATGCAAATTTGTTTCAGTTTTCAATAGAATGATCGAGACATGCTGCCCATAAAGATCAGGGTTGAATTTTATTTCTTCTCCCTTGTTGTTGAACATTTCCCTAAAAACTTCGTTCGGAAAATTTGGATTCTAACATCATGACGCCCTCCCAAGTTCATAATCTTTATCACATGTTTATCACATGAATTTTCTAAATAACTCTTTGAATTAAAGGATACATTCTTTAAAATTTCGATTTCTTGTAACACTTAACAAAACAAACCTCTCAGATAATTCCATGATACTCTTAATTCTCAAACAAAATCAGAGAATAAAAAAGATATTTGTTGGTGTGACTGTGCATGATACACCTTCACTCACCCTGCCCTTCCTGTGCGGCCAATACGATGAACGTAGTCCTCAATGTTTCGTGGGAAGTCAAAATTTAGCACACATCTGTTAGAAAAAAAATCGCACAACCGTTAAGATAAATTCTCATCATTTTTTGCACTATAAATGAAACAAACTACCAACAAAAACAAAATAAAAACGCCTAAAAATCTTAGTAACCGGCTCCAACAAAATTCCCTTTCGCAACAATGTTCATTTTCTGCTTGTGGTGTCTAATTCTCTAAAACAAATGGTTCGTGGCTCGAATCCCCTCATTTGCTCCTGTCCCTACCCCTGAGGGTGTACAACAGGGAGTGAAAGTAGCAGGGAGGTCAAGACAAGGGCGGGCTTTTCCCCTTCCAGTCCCACATCTTTTATCTCCCACATTCTTCCCATTTTTTTCCCTTCCAATTCCTCGCAATACCCTTTAATGTCAAACTGAATAGAACTCACGTGACACCACGAATGTCCAATCCCCTGGAAGCTACGTCGGTTGCGATGAGGATTTTCGCCACGCCTGTCTTAAAATCATCTAGTGCTTGCTCGCGATCGATTTGTTCCCTGTAACATTGTCACAACTGTAAAAGTGACTACCTTGGTAGTGGTCTAACAACAGAACACTATACACAGGCTTGTATATTGGAGGCTAACCATAGACAAACAGGTTTAGGAAAGAAGCATTTAACACATGAGCAAACTCAGTTCTCTCAATTACAAGATAGATCAACGCACAAAATTTAAGGGCCGCGGTTCTTCGTGTAAGTTGAGATCTACATGCAATGAGCGGATCAGACAGGGTTACAAAAAGGTTCCTTATGCTGACAAAGTAGTACTGAAAAACTCTTACCATAAAAGTTTACAAAACATGTAGCACAAGTAAAGAGAAGTTATATTTATGCTGGTAGCCACTGTCTTACCTGTCCCCATGTATGCACTGTACTCCTTGAATTCCAGACAACATAAAGTCACTCGCAATGTCATCGGCTCTATAAAAACAATTAATATAATAAACACGGGTAGGAGTCCGCTTTGAAGTTACAAACCTCTAAAAAAAATTATTAACATTACTTCATGTACCTCACTTTAGAATTTCACCTGATCACTAATGCATCAGTAATAACGACACATCTCCTGGTGTTATCGGGTCTTACCAAGAGGTCAAGAAAATGAAACTGTGAAAGTTTTAAAAAAGCCGAAACGTGTAGTGCCACAAGTACTTGTTATCGAGCGCAGCACCACAGTTTCTTTAGAAACATGCCCCCTTCATCTGTTTGTTATCTAACGGTTCAATTAGACAATTTTTGAGCAAAACTTACTTTATTTTCTTGCCCACGAAAATCAGCACTTTGTCGCTCTCAGTCATTTGCGAGATAAAGTGAAGCGTCTGCAAAGAAATGAGAGAACGCAATAACATTATTTTAAAGTCTATCAACGTTGCTTTCATGTCTATCGTGTTTATAGAGGGGAGACAAGATTATCAAGATTGTTTCGGTTTCAAAATCTTGTCCAAGATCACGGATATTAAGATGATGAAGGACAGAGAGGAATTTTAGTGACGATGACGACGGAATCTATGATGATGACACTGCTCTCTCTATCGCAGCCAACTATCAACCGTCAACATGTTCACACATCTATATCAATATTCAATGCCAAGGCATAAACTAAAGTAGAGTTCACCTTGTACAAAGTTCACGTAATTTATCTTAACGACACTTACTTTTTTCAGAAAACAAGAGAGATTAAGACTGGTACAAACCCTTTCTTTCTTTTCAGCTGGATCCAAAACCTCAACAAGCTGCGTAACATTGTGACAAGCCTAAAAACACAAATTTGCAAAGTCAGGGCAGAGCACAAAACAATTTTTTTCGTAGGAGTGATTATTTTGAAAATTTTTCTAAGCTACTTTTCACATTTCCTCGTTGTCGATTTTTTTCAAGAAATGCGAGGGTTTTTAACCCTTTTATACAACCTAATGTCAGTATGCACATTCTCCTAACTATTCGCTATAAATTTTCGAAGATACGGATAAGGAGAATTTGTTTAAAAAATCTAGAACTTTTTCAGTTGGTGATCATGATCTTTATTCTCGTGACTTTAAAGTGTGATTCAGGAATGGTAGCGAGAGGAGAAATCAGATGCTGGTCACTCTTAAAGGGTTGAATTAACATCGCAACTGAGTCGCTAAAAATTTAACCATTTAAACCCAGAGAGTGAACAGCATGTAATTTCTCATTACAGTAGTACTGCTGAATCATTCAGTAACATCATGAGAATAAAGGAAATGATCACAAACCTAAGAGCTTTGATTGATAAACAAATTCTCCTTATCAGTACCAAAGGAAAGTATAGAGAAGAGTCAGGAGAATATGTATGCTGATGTTAGGGTGTAAAGGGTAAATAAAAGCTGTGGACCTTCATTGTGTTCAAATAACGATAACATCACAAGGCCTTTCTCTAGCATGCCGTGCTTACATTCAAATCCAGTGATCCCACAAACACCCTCATGGGATCCTTCATGTACTGATCAGCCATTCTCTGGACACTTTTTGGCCAAGTTGCACTATAACAGAAGTGATCAACATTAAAATCTCCTCACAGGAACATTAAATACATACAAGACAAGAAAAGAGAAAACAAGAAATCATCCTATGCAAAAAAAATGTTCTCTTTGTAGTCTCTCTTCTCCTCTGAAAAGAGGAAATTGTGATATCCTAAACATAAACAAACAAATAAATAAATAAATGAAGAGACAAAAAAAATGTCTAAAATAAATAAAACAAACTACAAGACAGCAAAACCTCAATAATTATGATACACATGAAAACTGCAATACACTTTTAATACTGCCACAGAGTTCAAGTCTGTTATAACAGTGATGTGTACTTATGCTTGTTGAAGTCAAATAATTATATAGTATACACATGTAAGTACCAAATATATTGACTGGCATTCAAGCCTTCCTTCAAGTCTACTTTGTGCTCAAGAGGAAAACCATGTGTGGGTATATGCACATGTACCTTGTCATAATTGTTTGCCTGTCCGGTCTGATATCAAGTAAAATTTTCCTGATTTCTGGTTCAAATCCCATATCAAGCATACGGTCTGCCTCATCAAGCACCTTCAACATCAAAGATATTATTTGTGACTTAAATATACAGCTGGGAGTGAAAACGGAAACTGTGAAAAGTGCCGTCTACTAAACCAGATCAGAACTTTCCATCGTCTACCGAGCAATCTCTAAGAGTGCAACTCTTGTAACTTTTATTAATGTATAAATTATACATTTCATTAAAAAAAAAACTTACCAGATAGGTGACACTTCTGACATCCATTATTTCATTCATAAGCAAATCATTCAATCGACCAGGAGTAGCTGATTAATAGAGAAAAACAATGTTTTCATATTGATCTACAAATTAACAAAATCACCTTAGCTAAGAGAAAATATTCTTGAACTGCAAGTGATAATACAAAATGCAGCTACATACAGAATTTGATAATTGTGCTCTAAACACACATAAAAGAGAATTAAATTCAGCCTCCCCCGAGCAACCCATAGGCATTGGACTGTCAATTGTGAAATTTAAACCTTGCCTGTGTGGGGTGAGATATTTGAATGGGAACTATCAAGTCTTTCCAGCTGTATACACGTTTCTCCTTTTAATATGGAGTTTTTTTAAGGTAAAGAGTTTCCTTAAGTGAACAAATGGCTCAGAAGAAAAGGTCTGCAAAAAAGTCACCGTCACTGATCTTGCCTTTTATAAAAAAAATTGACCATCAAATCTGGCTTATGGACAGGGCATTTGACCACAACTTAGCCCAAGGGATGGGAATTCAAACTAATTGTGGAAAGGGTGTTGGAGATTTTAATTCATCAACACTTTACTCCTAAATGGATTACAACACCATCTAAGGATACTAGCATGCATTCCATCTGGCTTCGTGACAGTTTGCCCATATCCATTTATACTCCTGATTGGAAACAGGTGTTGTGAGAGCAAAGTAAACTTAAGAACAGAACATGTTGACCCAGCCAGGTATCATACACAGGCCTCTGGACACATACTGTAGTCCAGCACGCTTACCATGAGTCCACCATATCTCCTAAAGGGAAAAAGACTTAATGTGGCCACAGGATATCAAGGCAATAAAATTGATATCAGTACCTATAACAATCTCAACTCCTTTCTGAACCACTTGAATCTGTCCTTTTCTGCTTCCACCTCCATAAACACAGACACTATCAAAAACAATTTAAGTTTGCATGACTCAAGAAAAAAAACAAACAAACAAAACAAAAATACATGCTAAAGACTGAAAAATGAGCAGGTACAGTGTCAGGCTACCTCTTCACTCCACCCTCTCTGGAGTAAATAATCAGAGTCCTCCACAAGGAATCAAGCTCTAGAGCTTCATATTGCATGGTTCAATACTCTACCAGTGAGTTACAGAGAAACTATGGGTGAGCTAAGAAACATGCTAGGTCCATATTAAACAAATGAATAAGCCGATAGGGGGTAGGTTTCTAAAAAAGCTCTGGTTCTGCATTTCGAGTGTTAGCACCCATTCCATTCACTCTGACAAAGGGCTAATGCTTGAAACATCAGCTTAGAAACTCTTAGAAACTCTAAATTGCATCATCAACTCTGATGATAAAACTAAATTATAATATTTGACAAGCCTCCTCAGTACAGCAAGATATACATATTGAACAAGTATATGAAATTATTGTGATCTACACTGTTTACTTGGAGTAAATGTGGCCAAATTTAACATTCCAAGGGAAAAATACTTTATTTCTTGAAACTTTAAAATGGGAAAAAAATCTGCCAACCTTTTTATTCCCCTGTAATGAAATTTCTTAACTTCTGCTTCAATTTGCAAAGCAAGTTCTCGTGTGGGGGAAAGAACTAATACAGTAGGACCACCTCTTTCATTACGAGGCCTGAAATAAACAAAAAAACACCATAAGTTCCTTGCAACAGTGACAAATAGTTATAGTAATCTGTATTGTAGAAGCTTATAAATTTGGTTCTTAATTAATCAGTCAGTAGATGTTGGCTTCAAGTAACCTACAGTATATTCTGCCTATATTTACAAAGCTGTTTATTTACGTTTCTTGTCCATCAATATGAAGGAAAGCAGGAAGTAGAAAGGCCAATGTCTTTCCTGTACCTGTCTGTTGATGAAAACAAAGGCAAACAGATTTATAAACAGTTGTGCCACAGGAGAAACAAACAAAGAAACAGAGAACTAAAAAATACAGTAATATAAGTTGGCAGTTCAAATTTGCTTCCATACTATTTTGCAGCTTTAAAAAAAGTTTTCATGGCCTGGTCCTAGGCGGAGTTCCAAAGCTCTTGCATGTGCCACACATGAATTTGAAAACCCTGCAACTCCCTCAATTAGTTGAGAATTTGGAGTTACAGTAGGTCAAGAAAACAACTTCAGCTTAAGTATTGAGTATTTTTACCTGTTTTGCTTGAAAAAGTATAATATTATAGGGAGAGGTTACATTTCTGGGAGTTAACAGGTTAACTCAGAACACATACTTGTTGTATTGCAACTCAAACATAATTATAATTTGTTTTAAAATATGTGTAGGAAACAGTTTATAACATGAAAAAGGTTCCTGTCAGCAACAACAGACTTTAACCCTATCTAGGACAGGCACCATAAAACTTGATCTAGCTGCAATCACTAATGGGCCATGGGCTGAAAGGGCTTAACAGATAAGGATTAGACTTTTGGCTCACCTGAGCGATCCCTATCAAGTCCATCCCTGACATGATTACTGGCCAGGACTGGCACTGTTCAAAAAGAAAAAAAATCCAAAACTCCACATGCATATTTTCAGTGGTTTCAATAAAACATGGTACAAATGGGTAGTTTAGAATGGCAATTGATTAGTTTTTAAAGGCTTGGATTGTCTTTATTTCACAAAAAACGTCTAGGTTCCCTTAAGAAGTTTGAAGTTCTAGACCCTTACAGTTACATTTTCCAACATTTTAATAAGGTTTACTTCAATTAATGCTTTCTTTATTATTCCTCAGAGTCAGACATTATTAGTAAATATGATGAATAGGAAAATATTATACTTGTATTTAGGCTACAAGCAGGAAGTCAGCAAATTACATATACAAGCAGTTAAATCTACATTGTAGTTGCTACCCAGCTGTTATTAAAAATGCATAATTATGATCTCATACAAGCTTATCACATGGATAATTTGACCTGAGACAAGTTAGTGCTGAAACAGTATTTAAAATACCTGAATAGGTGATGGTCTGACAAATCCTGCTTTCTTCATTTCTTCCATGATTTCAGCTGTAACAAAAACAAATTGAAATCAAAAACACCTTTAGTTTGGTAAAAGGAGAATGAATCAATAGTAAGTTTGCTTTTTCCTGTAAAAAATCCTGATTTGCTTCAGGGTCTTAACCTTTTAACTCCCAGGATCTAATTCTTAATTCTCCTCTCTGGCTGCTAGACAATTCCTTGTAGGATAGTTACAAGAATTTGGTGTTTGATCAAGTTAAAAACTTCTACTTGATAAGCTGGAGTATTCTCATTACCTGTTTGCTGGATAATGTATGGATATTATAGGGAGAGGTTACATGTTAATCACTTCTGGGAGTTAAAGGGTTAAGTCCTTACACAAGCTCTTCCAATTTACAAGTTCTCAGAGCAGATTTGTGCAAAATATTCATATTGATATCAGAATTTTATAACATCCCTATACATGAAAACCTGACAAAAATACATCAAACAGATAAAATTAACTCAAATCTAAATGCAATTCAATTTTCTTGACATTCTTTGCATCTTTGTGGATTCTTTTAATACCACTAGATTTAATTCAATTCATAAATTTAGAAATGGTTGTAGAGCTAAAGTAACCTTTTATCCTTCCACACTATGGAGCACAATCATCACATTGTCAAATTTGAAAAAAGGGTAACCGGACATTTTGGACAAAAGACTTTTCACACAAGTTTTGGACCGTTCGCACAATTCTTAGTGGTCATTTCGCACAATAATTATAAGTGAGAAACATCAATATAAAAGGTATACTGATAAGACATTTCACCTTCACAAGATCCAATGACCTAAACTAAAGGGTTTTTTCCAACAGTTTTTCCAATGGCCAAAACTAAAAGGTTTTTTGTTTAACAAAGGAAAAGTAATAGAAGTAATCATTCGTTCTTTACATTTTCATAGAGAGAAAGATTTGTTCCTTTCTTCAAGTAAGAATGGTGATCGTGTTCACAAGCATTTCGATCTAGTTGAAGTTATTATGTAAATAAATGTCTACGTTCTCGCCATTGGATCTTATTGAAAGTGACATGTGAAGGTGAAATGTTTTATCAGTATTAATTAGTATACCTTTTATATTAATGTTTCTCACTTATAGTTATTGTGCGAAATGACCACTAAGAATTGTGCGAACGGTCCAAAACTTGTGCTAGAAGACTTGTGCAAAAAGTCTTTTGTGTGAAATGTCCTGTATTTGAAAAAAGGGATACAATGAGATAACTCACGATAATCAGCATAAGCTTCGGCAAATGTTGTAACAGGGTTTGGAATACTACGGTCCTGAATGGATTCCCCATAATTTTCTACCATGATTCTATTATTATCCAATCTAAAAGGTGAGGAAAGAATAGTTATTTGTTTAATAATATAATTCTTACAAGCAGTTTAAGACCAAGCAGGGATAGAGGCCTACTGTATCAAAGATATTTAAGGTCTGACATATAACCTAGCTCCATCGACTTTACATCGCATGCAGTAAAGATATCACTTAGAGAGGTTGATCAACCAGTAAAGCTGATACATGTACATGTACATGTAAAGCAAGTCTCTTGAGATTTCAAGTACAGTTCAATTTTGTACATCAGTGCAAGTTAAGGAAGTAATCTTGTTAGACCCCTTTACACCCTCAGACCATTAAGCATATTCTCCATACTGTTCTCTCTAAATTTCCTTTGGTATTGACAAGGAGAGTCTTTTTAACAACTAAGAGATTCTTTAAATTAGTTGCTGATCTTTACCTGTATTCTCATGATCTAAATGTTTGATTTAGTAGTGATAATGTATAGCAAAAATGAAAACCAGTCACTCTTGGAGGTTAAAGAGTTAACAGCTTACAAAAATTTTATGTTACCATTATGACGCCTGCTTTTCCACAGACAGTTTGATAAACTCCACACATTCTTACCTAAATTTCTCCACTTCTTCATCAGCCATGTTTGTAATTGATGGCTGCTCTCTGTAAAATACTTTCTTGATGGGTGGTAAATCTGAATATCAAACAATAGAACAGTATAAAATTTAAAATCAGTCCAGATATTAAAATGGTGATGAAGAGGCATGGTGTGTGAGGCATATATGAATAGAGCTTGATAAAAAATAAATTTGAGAAACAGAAAAATTATAACAATTTTAAAAATGATTACTGGGCAACAAATAGACTTTGTTTATTGTTATTCTTGTATTCCTTTGCATAGACTTTCTAATTGATAAGAAAGGTATGTTTTCTGCAAGCAAGATTTCTTCAATAATAATTCATGAAACAATAAGTAATTGTATATCTCAGTTAGTAAGTGCACTATGATTTGTCACTTTAGGGGGCCATAATTATTTCACTGTACAGCCTGCTGATTTCAAAAGCTTGTTTGAACTAAAATATTTCCCATGTTTGAACCCAGAGATAAAATATATATCCCATTGACTCCATTTTCTCAGTCTGTATTGCAAGTTACAGAGCTAATTCTTTTAGGCCTAGGCCATAAATCTGATTGAAAAACATTTTCCAAAACTTACAGAACTGACCTTGACCTTGCGTAAGAAGAGGAAGTACATTAAATATTAAATTACTAACAGTACATGCCATTCAAGGAGTGAGGATCAGCACTAGTCAACAAGGTTAAATTTAGTATGATACCTGCCCATCTTGCAGCTTCCTTTTCTTCCTGTTCTGAACGAAGCTTTGCCCAAGGAATACGTTTGGGCTTAACCGGTTGGGAACTGAAGATAGAGATACAAGGCAATTTTCAGGGATGCAGAAGGTTTCTGTTTCAAGCTTTATTACATACATTTTGAAATTGTTGGTGATCCATGCAATCTGATTGGCTCACATGCAACTTATTCACAAATTTCACCATTTTTGCTCCAAATCACATCTTTTTCCCAGCCTATTAGAAACCTCTATTAAAACACAACAACCAATCATATTTCAAGGCTTGTTCACATAAACCAATCAAATTAGAGGAAAATGAAACACAATTTTTAAGTTTTATAAACCAGCTCAGCACTAGATCAATAAAATATTTCAATCTAATGACTACAAAAATCCTGTATTTGAGCAGCTGAATTTTGCAATTCATGATGGATGTAATAAAGTAGTGATTGTAAATTTGTGTCAAGCAATTTTGGTCTGAAATTATACTTGTGATTTCAAATCAAACTCACGCTGCATGCTTGTTCAACTTTGAAATCACTTGTATGATTTCAGACCACAATGCACTCTACTCAGTTCAATTACCATTATTAATCCATGGTGCTCATAGGGCAAATCAGTACGCACAAGAGGTGATGCAAAAATTTCAAGAGTGATCAAAAAAATACAAAAAACCATCTTATTGCTGAGATAAAGCTTTTAATGTTAAAAACAAACCTTTCATCTGAAGTACCATTTTGAATGGATAGACCTGAATAATTAAGACAGATAAAACATATTATTACTGACAGTGACATGAAAAGGTCAAAAGATATGTCTGTACTCAAACCCAGAGGCCCATGCAGCCATCACCATCGATGACATTTGTCTTTCCTATTACCATAAAAACCCGCAGATAAGCCACACCTACAGATAAGCCGCACTCTTAATTTAGCAGCTCAAATTTTGGGAAAAAAGATTTTTGAATGAAATCAAAAGAAATCCAAAGTTGAGTCTCGAGAAGTCTTCTTCATCCACTGTTCATCAAACGTAAACTCACTATTAACATTACAATGGAAAATACTTCAAAGTCTTACCCACAATTTTAGCACTTCAACATAACAGACATTGTTCCTACCAACTTTGACATATGATTGATCTTTTTCTGGTATTTGTTGACAGGAATTTCTTCACACAGTTTTTCCATAGATTTTTGAATTACAACAAGAATGTGAGTGGAACATTCAAAGCTTAGTAACCAGGCATTAGATCAAATGCAATGACATTAGCGTTGACATTCACAACACCTTTTTCAAATGTTCCTGCAGATAAGCTGCACCCCCAATTTCTAGCAACGATTTTTGGAGAAAACATGCGGCTTATCTGCGGGTTTTTATGGTATATATACTGCAAATAGATTCTACGTTACCCTGAGTCTTAACATTAAATTAATAGATCATAGCATGCATCCACATGTGGTAAGAACATATTCTTGTTTTTGTTCTTGCTGTAACAATACCTTGACATCAAATGTGATCTATCACTGAAGAGATACATAGCAACAAAGTGACCAGCTCCCAGTTGGCTTGTTAGCTCAGTTGGTAGAGCACTGCACTGGTATTGCAGAGGTCAAGGGTTCAAATCCTGTACAGGCCTAAATTTGTTTCAGCCTTTTTTGTCACTACTGCTCAAGTAGTGTTCATTACTGTGAAGATCATTTTCCAATTCATTTTGTACAACCACAGTTCACATATAAGATTTTCATATATTTACAGTCAACACGGAATATATTTGTTGAGTAGGGCTCATTCATTTAATGATATTGAGAGCTGGTCATACCTCCCATGTTGTTTGTTACTGATGAATCAGGACCAATAATCTGTTCAATCATTTCTTTAGCTTTTTTAATTTGGTCTTCACTGCCAGAAATTTCTACTGGGGTCTCTGAATAAGTAGCATCATCCTTTTTCACCTGTCATTGAAATAATTGATAGTATTCAGCGCAGAGAAATGGACAAGAACATCCAGTTTTCATTACAACATTGAAAACTATGTTTCACAGTTCTAAAACTAGAGAACTTGACTTATTTTCCTCTGAAAATAAGTCAAGACCATATTTCAAATATTTTAGAGAAATTAAAGTTTTTGGGTTGACGTCACCCTTGACATAGCTGTGGCAATTGTCTACGATTTGGTAGCAGACTTTCAGGTGACTTACTGGAAAAAAAACAGTGGAATAAGGCCTTAACCCTTTAACAATAATATCACTATGCATATTCTCCAAACTGTTCTCTATACATTTTCTAAGGTGCTAGCAAGGAGAACTTGTTTAACAATTAAGAGCTTCTTAAGTTGGTGATCATTTCCTTTCTTCTTGCGACCTGAATGTGGTAGATAGATATATAGATAGATAGATAGACTGTTTATTCACAAATACATCGCAGTCATTAGACTGAATTGCGTATTTCACAGAGAAATATATAAATAGGCAAATGTTAAAACTAATCACAAACATATGTACACGATATAAAAATATAAGTATCTAATGGGATTAAAATATGTATAGTTACTAGCTAAGTACTACGCATTGTTTGTTGCTAGGCAATGTATGATTCAAGGGTGACATTGCTGGTCGCTGTAAGAAGTCAAAGGCCTTAAGTGACTTTTCACTCATCATCAAGTTCTTCTTGTGTTTTGCATGAATATACAGGGAAAATTTGGAAAGAGAAAATAACAGTATATCACAACTCACTTTGAGCTTATATCCAATCATTCTTTCAACTGTTACTACCTTTTTACACACCTTAATGTATGCTCCACTTTCACTCTGAATTTCTCTTATCTTTTGGCCACCTTTGCCTGATAAGGAAATAAATCAATCAATCAATATATTTAATGGTAACTCAACCCAAAGTAAGTTTAATAACTATCAAAAGCAAACATAATGAAGAGGTAGTAAATTATATGATTTATCATTAAATAAAGAAAGAAGCGGGAACTTTGCTATATTTGTAAGCAAGGGGAAGATAAAAACCCAGATTAAACCTACAACTCCAAAAGATCAAATTGTTAATTCTCCCCTCTAGCTGCTTCACATTTCTTCATAAATTAGTTGCAAGAATTTGGTGTTAGATAAAGATAAAAACTTCTACCTGATAAGTTTGAGCATTCTCTTAACTTGTTTGCTGAATAAAATATGGGTATTATAGGGAGAAGTTCAATGTTAATCATTTCTGGTAGTAAAAGGGTTAACCTATGGGGATTAAAACCTCAGAGCTTCCCTTGTGCATAACTGAGGTGGTCAACTAGCAGGTATTTAAGTAGCAGTAAACATGCATGTTGTGAGGGAAGACAAGAAGGCACCCCAGCCCTCTAAATACAAACAAACAAATAATGATATTGCCAGACACGCTCATTGAAAGTTGATATAAAAGTCCTATGTATTCTATAGCAGTTAATATATCAATCAAAGTCCCAACATCACCCCTCTCCCACAACCCCTCAGTAACCCCCCTTGCATTTGAAATTTTGCAGATTGGTTTGTTCAAATTCTTTTCCCTCTGGCCCAAAATTGTGTGTGAATGCCCTGCCCCAAGGTTTGGATTTAATGGTTAATTTTTTGTAAAAGCCAAGATCAGCAACATTGACTTTCTTACAGACCTTTTCCTCTGAAAATCTGAACTCTTTCCTTTAGAACAAGTGTATCCTGGTTCAAATTCCCCACTCCCCCCAGTTCTGGCACAAAGGTGGGGGGGGGGGGGGTGTGTGTGGGGATGTTGAAGCTTTAAATTGATGCTTAACCCCAGCATGTACTTAACATAAAAGAAGAGCAGTTGACTTTAAGTGCAATGGTAAGATGCAGGAGGGGGGTTTTATTTCAGTAACAGACCCTCCTTCTCCTCCCCCCCCCCACCCAAGGATGTCGGAATCTTAATCTGGAGCTTCAACTGTTTGTCAGCTCCATATGGAGAGTGCTTACTAATCCTTGCATTTTTTAGCGGCTTTTTATTGAAATGTTCACAGGACCTCACTTTGTCCGATTCTATGACAAAATTCGAACTCCATAAGTAAAAACCTTAGCAATTATTTATGTGGAGTGTGCACAAAGTCAAAGGTGTATATGTCTTTGGAGATACAACGAGCTAAAATACAAGATTAATCCACGTTTCATTTCCTTACCAATGATATAGCGCACATCATCTGAGGGCACCATAATCTCAGTACTATTTCTTTCACGTTCATTTCCTCGAGAATAATCCCTGTTTCTCCTATCTTGCCAGCCATCATCTTCGCGGCTGCCTCTCCACGAGCGACCCCCACGTGCGAATTGTTTGCCACCAAACCCGCTTTCTCCTCCACTGAAACCTCTAAAGCTCCCACTTTCGGAATAATCATTCCTCTTTCCTGGGCTTGAGTACTCTTCTCTTGCATTTCCAAATCGATTTGCCTTTCCTCGTCCAAAGCCGGGTCGCCTACCATCAGAAAAATTTTCCTCGACGTTCTCGACATAGGAATTGTGCCATCCTCTCCCGCTAGGTGGATTATACACATTCTGAGGAGTGCTCCTGGAATCGTCTGCGTCTTCTTCCCAGTCGCTCATTTTCGCAGAAGCATATGTTTATTGGAGCTGCAGAAGGAGAATATCTAGCCTGAAAGTATTGTTGAAGGACACTGTTGCGCTAACCGCGGAGCCGCCATGACTGTTTGTATTGTCGCACGGGTTCATGGGATAGACAAGGCCCAGTCCTAAACATCCCCTTCTGTCGCACGTCCAAGAGAGTTCTCCTGAATGCGATATGTAACCCTGCTGACGAAAATACGTTATGATCTTGTCTCCTTTGACCATAGTAAAGAGGAGACAAAAATTGTTTCCTCATAATTTACTCTGAACTAAATGTATGGTGTAACGATTTTGACATCACATCCTGTTTCATTGTGGCAAGTTTTTATAACGGGACATTTCCTTTCGATAGCCCCGGTTGTTCGAAGCTTTGATAACGCTATCCATCCGATACCGGTGTATAGCGCAGTACGTTTTGTAATCACTTATCCGCTAGATAGCAATTTATCAGTTGGATGGCGTTATCCGCCCTTTATCAGTTGGGCCCTGAGCAGTATCTTCTCCCCTCCCCTCTCCCCCCCCCCCCCGGAGGAAAGATAGGAGATCGAAGAGAAAAACTGTTAGAACAACAGGGGAAAAGAGACTTGCGCCTTGCCTCCGGTTCCCATCTCTTTTACTCCAGCATGCCACGCATGTACGCGTGCGCAAGAAGAGCCAAGCAAGAACTAAGTAGGGGCGTGGTCCTCTTTCGACAAACCCAAACAAACAGTGCCCACATTTTTCTGTAACATGTAGCCTATAACATCACGATTACACTTACTTTTGTCTAATTTTAGTCCCACTTAAGTACTCGTGCGAAGCGTATGGGATAAAAGGCGTCTACGCCAAGAAATAAAAGAAAGGTGATTAATGAAGATCTACTAGGATTTACCAAAAACTGGAAAAGCCGAAGAAAAAAAATGATAATGGGTGTAGAAATTCTATTTCGTTTTTAAATTTCAAATTACAATTTTTCTCTTCTTAATTCCTGTCCCCACTTTGCATTGTCCTCATATTTACGCGTGGCGCGCGTGATTTTACAAATTAGCAAATCACGTCAAAGAACTCTAACCTTGACATTGCAAAACTGACGTGGACACTTTTCGCTTATTTTGCTTGTTTTTTTTCAATGAGTTTAAATAATTGTTTTTAGGCTTTCGTTCGCGTAAATTTAATACCTCTTTGTTTGTGATTTAAAGAAGTTTTGGAGTTTTAATTTCAGCCAGATGTTGTGGTTCATTTAATAAGTTTAATACATATTTTCCGGCGGAGTTTGGACTCTGGCCCTTTTTTCGTAAATTGATATTTTACAATGAGGATATCAAGAATTGTAGCAGAGGAGATGGATCACTGGAAAATAGGAACAGGGTGCAGAGAGGGAAAGTGTTAAGAATAAATGATAACAAGTAACATGAGTTTAGTGGGATTATTCCACCAAACTTCAATTAAATCCCTGCCCCAAAGTTCTTCTGTAAATAAAGAGGCGGTAATTCCACTTACAAGACCAAGGTCAAGGTCGAAATAGGTCACGTCCAAATAACCCGGTGATTTTCCTTTGGCACGCTATAAAAGCTTGCAAACGCGACTTTTGGATACAAGATCTAAGGAAAAAAAATAGTTTCACGGCACGCAAGGACATTAAGAATTGTTGTAGTCAGGTTACACTATTTTGGCAATACTCGTGCAACCTCCTGGGAGGTTTGATAAATGTTCTTGGGTTATTATAGTTAATGGATCAAGTTTAGACGGATAAAAGCGGATTTTTTTCATCCAATTTTTTTTTGTTTCTCAACCAGATCTATTCCTTAGAGATATTACGTAAGTGAAGGGGGTTATTGCTGTTTATTCGTTGAAAAATATATTGCGTGCTATGGGACGATGAGTTAGCATTTCCGCTTTTGTACTTACGTCATAGACCCGTGAATTGTGGTAGATAACCAGGTCGTCAACGAAAGACATGGAGAAGCTGAACTCTTCCAAAACCCCACCTGCATCTACAAAAAATAAATTCTAATAAAAACAAGGGATTATACAGATTTTCGAAACTCGTGCAGGTTTATTGTATAGCTATTAAGGGAGTGTTGGGTAAACATCTGCGCCAGAGCTATGAAAATGCAGGAAAATTAAATAATAAAGGGGGATGTTTTTTCGTCTTGTCACGAGCGTGGGGCAAAGAAAAAAAATTCTGAGTCCCCGTGAGGAATCGAACCTCAGACCTTCGTATTCCGCGCTCCGATGCTTTACCACTGAGCCATGACACGCGTCCTGCCTACTGCCAGGATCAGCAATGTCGATAGCGTAATGTTTGTTGACAGAAATTAGATGGATGGTAAGTTTTGAGCTCGGTAATAGTTGTAACTTGTTCTGCGGGAACCGGTTTGGACCCAGAAATTCCGATATACAAGCCTCATACGGGAGCCAAACTGAATTCCACCGATTTCTAGCTTGGCACGTTTTAGCAAGCGATACGTGACCCTAAAGAGGCAGAAAACTTTCACAAAAACCGCATGGATCTTTTATTAGAAACAACAAATTAAAAAAACGACAAAAAGATAATCTTTCTTTGAATATTCATAAACGTTTATTTGCGATCAAGCACGTTTAAGGCCTAATTCAACGATACGTGAAGCAACATAAGAACAAAGTACTGATAAAACTATTCAGCCCAGAAAACCTTACTATTGGTAAATTTTTAGAATGTTGCTTTGTTTTTAAGCTGAGATCGTTGCACCTGTTATGTGTTTGATGCGTTTAATCTTACTAATTTCACATGGCTTCGTTGAACTATGGAAAGGCCGCAATTATTTCCTAAAATTGCTCTCCGGATCAAAACTGGAACGTTTCAGATTACCGCATTACTTTCAATGAGAATGCTCACATCTACTTAAATAACTAAGGCTTTAAAGTCGTTTACAGAGAAGAGAACATGCACTAGTACGAAAAATCAAGGATTGTGGCGAAACGATGTCGCGGAGAATTCGTCTAATCTGAATTCGCAATCAAGTTTATGGCAGTTATTGACGTGAAAAATAACTCGTGTTGCATTTGTCATAGTCATCAAGGCCTTTCTATCCCAGAGATAAAAATTAATTGCCACCTTCGTACCTAGGACAATTATAGAAATGTCACTTTGATCAGCTAAAGATAGTACGAGTTTAAAGTTTACGCATCTACAGTTATAAGCATCAATTCCAGCTCATTAAAAGTCACACAAAATTATGCTTTTATTTGAATTGAAAGAAAATTTGAAGTCAAAGTTTAATAAGACAGAAAAATAACGAAAGATAAAAATAAGACAAGGAAATAAGGATGACTACAGATAGGTTGTGACAGTATTCAAATGCTGGACGAACATGAGAGTCAGGCTGAAATTCTGAACAACCTCAAATTAAGTATGACGTAGCTTCTACACAAACATCATGGTAGGAACAAAGCTCATCAGGAAATAGCTTTAATTTAATAAAAAAAAGACGGGAAATGTGTTGACTTCTGATAGCCTATGCTCTCGATCCTCTCCATCTAAAAATTGCTAAATATGTATACAGGTATGTTTAAAAGAAATCTCAGAGGAAAAATCAGATCACTCTAGTTGTCACGTAGGCCGGTTAGGAACAATCCGATGAACCAGTATTATATAACTCACAACTTGAAAGGTCATCCCCACGTACTGTCGAGAATTTTTGTTTTAGAGATAAGTTAAGACGCTTTCCAGCAGTTTCGTATTTCTGTTTATAGCTAAAAATATTTGTTGCGGTTTTTACAACAAAAAGGGAAAAAAAAAAAAAGTGGAATTGTCTTCACGTAAAGGTCAATGCGTCGTGCTACATCGTTGCACGTAAAGGAAACTAAAGAAAAACAAATATAAAGAAAAATTTCCAAGTCAGGAAATAATCAAAACGATCAATATTTAGCAAAATGCGTAGGTTTGCGTTTCCGCAACATGATTCACTCATAATGAGTCGGCTGTACGGAGTAGTCATGATGATGAGGCAATATTGCATCCTTATGAGTAACATATGGTAAAGAAGGCTGACAATCTAAGGAAAATGATCGATTGGGTTGAATCAGATCTCACGTTTTCAGCCGGAAAGGAAATGATACTTTGCTCACTTCTCCGTTACTTGTGGACTGAGTTATTTATTTACTATATTCCCATTGCTTCGAAGGTTTTTTATTTTTCCAGAGTTTTCCAGTTTTCGTCTCCTCAAAACCACTACGTCAAATTCCAATTCAACGCTAAAGTCAGTAGAGTGAGAGCCACTTTGTGGTTACACCTCTGCTAAAACCCAGCTGTCATTGCAAAGTCTGTATGACGCTGATGTTACTTAAACACAGGAATGTTTCAAGTTTCTGACTTGCTCCTAGATTCAAGTTACTGATCTGTGCGCGAACCCAAAGATTTGTAATACTTCCAACATTAAATCTTGCAGAACATTTCGAGTAATTACTTAATGAATTTCATAGGAGAAAATCAGGGCAAAGGTCTCATTATGGAAAAGGAAATCGTAAAATTTGTACTATGATCATTTTAATCAAATTTTTAATGCAAAGAAATGCAATCAATCAAATTTCTAAAGCACTCAGTAAAAAATGGTGTTTGTTCAATATTACCCTGATAGTTTCCATAGGAGACGCTATGACTTTTCGGTGTGTTATCGAGCTGAAAAATTAGTCGAGAGGTCTGGATTCGAGACCAAGCAAGGACATTCTGTTGCGTTCTTTACTCAGACGTTTTAAATTTACGGCACCTCTCTTTACCCAGGGGTATGAATTGGCACCAGCGAAATATCGAAGAAAGGTAAGAAGGTTATCGTGTCCAAATTTACTTCAAAACGAGCCGACACTTTACATTCAGCTCTTTAAAGTTCTTCAGTTACAAACAGTCCATATCATTAACGTGTTTATATTGTTCCTGTTTACAGTATTCTCCAGCAGTGAAAACCCCTGAAAGTATTTTAGCGGTCAAGGGATACGCTGACAAATATGCTATTAGATCTAGAGAGGATATCGTCTTTTAAGAGATAAATGAAGTGTTCGCTATGCATTTCCGTCTCTTGTCTCATTATAATCTGTCGCATGCTTCATGCCAAAATATGCAAGCAAGCTGACGGATGAAGTGTCTTAAAGAAGGTCGGCTTTAAGTGCATTTGCCTCTCCAACCAAGGATGGTGTCTTCCTTACAGAGTGAGATTTAGTTGCAAAAAGAGGAAATTCAAGCCACAACAACCAAATTCCAACTTTTGAGCATCATTTCCATCCAGCCGAGTTCACCGATCCTACGGAGATATCTGTTGAGACTAGTTAGTTGTATTGGTAAAATTTGTTTGAAAGGATCATTGCAAGGAAACTTCCGAATACGAAGCATTTTGGGCCGACGCCTGACACTCACGAATACTGTTCTTTATACAAAGAAACGCCCCGCTCACGCGACCTTGGCACGACATGTTTTTGGTGTAAACCACACCTTGAATAGAAGCCAACACCTCTGGAACAACTTCACAGTGACGGCATTTGATATATTCACTAAGATTAAACAGAAAAAAATAACCCGCTAAAAAATTGGACTAAGCTTGCTGAAGCTCAGTACGGATAGTCAGGTAATTGACCTTGGAGACACCGTTGTTGCATGGCTAAAAATAGGCATGTTAGGAGTTGAACAACAATTAATAAAGACACGGGAATGATCAGTGCTTGTGTAAATAAACTCTCTTGTTTTTCAAACGGGTCCAGTTGATTTTAAAGTTCATCCAATTAGACCTGGTCTCTCTCACTACTGGAGGAAATACGAGGTTTTTATGCTTAAATGTCCCCAAGACGGCTTAAATGCAGTTATGATAATTGCTTAACACAAAATGGTAGACGTGTTTATCAACGTTTACATACAATGTTAGCTGGCTCGCCAATCACTTTATATTTGCGGAGCTTAGGAGGGTAAAAGAATGACTAAGAATTACTAATTTATGAGCTATTTTCGCTCAAGCATTGGTTCTGCTCCCGGAAAACTAGCTTCGTGTCGGTGTGAAAACACCGGCACGAAGAACATTACCTGCTAATTCAAGAACTTGACAACTATTGTACAACCAGCTTGACCTATCACTCTCATTTCGGTCACTCAATCTGTTATTTTTTACTGATTTTCCTGGCTTCTCGAGAGTTCTATGCATTTAATTAATTTCCGTTCCTAGATGTGCTTCACCTCAGCAATTTTCTGAATGTCAAGGGCACTTCTTGAATATATTGTTAATAACAAAATTCAGGATATAAGAGTTTCCAGCAGGGAAATGCTTTGTAAAAGTTATCCGTATATATGTGATCCAGATACACAGGAAGAAGCCCTCAACCGTGGCTCAATGTGACTTCACCATCACTTCTTCGGATCTGATGTTATGTTAAGAAAATCATTTCAAGCATTTAAATAGTTCTTTTTCACTTTGGTGATCACTGACTTAGAGCCAAATATTTTTATCGCAGTATTTTAGAGCTAACATCTAAATCCAACTCCATATGATCAGGCTAAGAAGACCACCAAGCTATAGTTGGTCCGACTCGAATTTTTTTTCACTCAGGAGTTTTCCTGAGTAAAATTTTATCTCCTTAAATTTTATTTCAGGTCATGTTAGGGAATAACTGGTTAACTCCACGTTACAATAATAATGATTTTTAATTCCGCAGTGATTTTTTCCTTGAAACATTTTATCCGAGATTTCGAAAGAGATTAACTAGGCAGATATGCACCAGAGATTCATACTTTAAAACATCCACATGAGTATGTCTTGGCCTATCAAATACCCTGCGCAATTATAAAGTTTTACCCTAAATTCTTATTACCGATTAGATAATATTCTTGCAAAGTTTCTCCTGGGTGTTCAAGGACAGCTTTACTAGGAAAACTCGCTCGCGTGAAAAAGAAAAAAAATTGTTTTCGTGTTGACAAAGACTGTAAAACTTTACGAGTTATCACGGCACCTTTGATCCAGGTATTTACTCAGATAACGCAGTGTGTGCGTCACGAAACGAGCTGAGGTTTGTGTATTAACAGTCTGTAAAAAATTGAAAGAAGAAAAACAGTCGGATGGGAAATGGTGCTTGATTTTCGTGAGAATTTCACCTCTGGCCTGTTGATTAGCACTTTGTTAAAGATGATAATTCAATTATCCAGAAAAGGATAAAGGCACCATCAGTCACGAAAAGGAGTGCCCTAAGACAAAGAAGGCAAACACTTTGCGCGACCACAAAATCTCTACAGGAATGGAGAATAATCGCATTCTCAAGTGTGAAGTTGGGTTTCGGTTAGTTCATTTAGCACCTCCTAAGCTAAGTGCAGATAATTGGGTTAGGTGGATAAGGGTAAATAAATATTATAAGACACGAAATCGAGTAACTGTCCACAAGAATGATTGACCTTGAACGAGGCGAAATCGCACGAATAGAGAGATGCTTTCCCCCTTCGCATGACCGGAGCTGAGGAAATTTGAGATGCACTTCATTCTTCCAAAGGATTTGTGTCAAGTAGAGAATCATTTAGCGGAACTTATTTTCTTTCCCGTGAAAAAAGATCAGAGCTCTGACCCAGCTCTGTGGGTTCCTATACCTCCAAGGTCAATTGGATCCCATATATGGTAAAGGCGTCTCAGAGAGTAACATCAGCATATGCATGTGCACTTTGGAAAATATTTACACGGACGCCTGTTGATACATAAATCTTGTTTCTTTCATGTTGATGGAAGGTCTAACCAATTTTTTAAGGTTTTTCTTACATAGAATAGCCGATTGTGTATTGACTCCAAAATCGTGACACTGCGCGTTGAAGGGAAAAGTACGCCTCATTAACTGATCAATCTTTTCAAAGTAGTCAATGTTTGCATTTTAGTAAAAACAGTAGAGTAGAGTAATCGTATGTGATGCAAAACTGTTTAATCACGAACATAACTTACATAAGTTGTACTGCAAAGCTTACCGCATTTGGTAACCCAGGTCGGGTTTGAGACTTAAGGAAGAGTTAAGAAGCGGTCTTCCGCTTCGGTTGTCAAATGTCTCATGTGGCGCGACAGAGGCGGAGCTCCGCATGGAATTGTCAAGGCCAATGTCATCGCGGACTATCACGTAAGATGCATATCACATCCTTTTAATCTGAAACGGTAGAACTTAATTTGGACACAAATAGAAAATAGAAACACCCCCCTCCCAAACCAAATGGAGAAAATTTAAGGCCAGAAAATTTAAATTTCTTTTTTCTCTTTACAAAATCTGCATGTTTTCTGTTAAAGATCTCAAACAACCCTAAACAAATAAGCTACATTGTTACAAGTGCTGCCTCTTGGGGAGTCGCGTAAACCATGAACTTTTAAAGAAAACATTTGCAAAGCGTCATATAACTCTGCAAAACAACACGTAACGTCCCAAAATAAAGGGGTCAAATTTAAGATCCAGAAAGGTTCCAAAACTTTGCACGTGTCAACACTATAATTAAATTGTTACTGGTGTGTCATATTAGTAGGAATATAATCCCAGTTTCATGAGTCATTACGAAAACACCGCTACAGTTACGTGTTTTCTTAACGTCTGTTAAAAGACTCAGGTTTTACCTTACCATAATGTGTTCTTTGTATTTTCTTACGCAACCAGACAAAACAAGTCTCTTAATTACTCTTGCAAGATTTTCCCACAACCTTTGAGATTTGTGAATTCCGTGAATTGTCTCAGACATTCTGTTTTTACCTCCTACGTAAGGAAAGAATGTGTAATGCTTTGCAAAGCTGCATTCCAAGGTCAGTTGAGAACAACCGTATAAGAAGTTACACAGTTAAGTTTCTTACGTAGGTTCCTTTTGTTCTCCTCAAACACTAGTTACTCTCTTACCCAAAAACGAAATTCTTCCTGTTTTTTTGTTTTTGTTTTTATTTTTATTATATCTATTTTGTCCCTCCTTAAGAAAGTGCAGATAACTCGTGATATTTGAACGCTTTGTCAGTTTACAAGAGATTGCTTAACAAACGAAGTGAAGAAGTCGGCTTTGGGACAATGAACTTCGTCAGTTTCCTGTTTAGGCGTGCGTAATATAAAAGGACAATTAAATTTTTTGAAAAGAGCGGAAAGCCCTGGAGTAGTAGTTTTTAGAGGTATTTAAATGCAAATGAAAAGGCCAAGGCCAAAGTCATTTGAACCGGACTATTGACGTAAGCTGCCGTGAAATAAATGTTTGCAATAAGTGTTTGCCGAGAGAGATTAAACATCGAAAAAATATTCCTAATGTGTTTTTACTCGCCCTTTAGTCAATGGACACTTAGTTGTTGCTATAATTATGAGATCGCAAAAGAAATAGAAGTTTTCCGTGGGATGAAATGGAAGTTCTTTTAAAAGATTCAAGTTGGATTCCTCTAACGTATTGAATTCTTAAGAAAACGTTTGGTACAACTTTATTCCCAAACATCACATCGCATGGGGGCTAAACGTGATGTTTACCTACCTAAAAAAGGTAACATAATACTTATAGGTACTTATTTCAACCTCATCGGAGAAGAAGCTAAAAACGAATCATGAAATACCCGAAACTCTTACAATGAAAATTGAAAGATAATTTTTTCTCCAGGAATGTTTAAAAAAATTGCTCCGCATTGCTGAGCAAGGCGCAGCTGCAGCACAGAAACAGCGGTAAACGAATTAAACACACGATACAAAAGCTCTGCCGTCCGTTGCCTTATTAATCCAACTTAGACTGTTTATTTAAAGCATCGTTTTGTTAAAAAACAAAATCAAAAGCTTCCGTGGCCTTGGCCGCCGTGGAAAATCCGTAACCCTGACTAATAACAAACAAGTTCTAAGGTTGCATAGACCCAGGTGGTTTGGTCGACTGCTGAATTTTACCTCAATAGAATCTTAGTGTGGATAGTCTCCATTATAGTTAATATCACGAACGATTGTCGATGCATTCGAAGCAATATTTTTTCACCTGTTCAGTACAGTACGACGTCACATGTTCTACTAATTCTGCATTGTAGTCGAGGAAACAGTTTTGACCGCCAAATAGCTGGCTATAAAAGGTCCCTATTTTTAAAGTGGATTTCAGAAGATTGAAATAATCCTAAGGAATCGCATTAACTCCACTGAAAATCTGTCGAAATTAAAGGTAAAGGAATCAGAGTTCCTAGCAAAAGCAATCACTTCTCCTGAGAGTTTACCATCTAATTTAAGTTGCAAGTGCTGGTTGAACTAAATTTAAACATTTCGAATAATCTAATTAGATGTTATTATTTCCTTAATAAATGAAGTGTCACGACCGGCTTGCATTTTCTCCCAGAATGATTTAATGAAGAGGAATCGAAAATTTCTCAGACACCAAGAGCTTGATAATAACAAGAGAACAGACGAAGAAACAAATACCGACATCCCTTGCGTAAGATATTCAATAGACTGTCCACGTGCTTTGCCGCCTAGTAGAGCGTGCCTTTGGCATTGGCCTCTAGCTTAATTGGGTGTTGATAAGTCTGCAAACTGTGAGTAATGCTGCAAGAATTAAATCAAGGGGCCATCGATGTCAAACAATAATATGATCATGGAATACAACATCATTTAGTTTGGAGATTTGTGCCAAACAATCAACTTCACCACATAGAATTCTCGAGTCGAGAGTTGAAAGATGGAAACCCGGCATTTGTAAAAGTCAAAGTTTAATCTATGAAACAAATGCCTGTTTGCTTTAGATTTCCAGTACGGTGGCAATTGTGTATGAAAGACTTGCATCATCATGCGAACTCTGCAAACTGAATTATTTCCACGCGTGAAAGACAAATGGGCAAAGTCGATGGCGGTATCTTCATTTAGACCCAAATTTCGAGCACAGTTCAACTGGCTGTTATTGGAATCTGGGAAACCGTAAAGAAAACCTCCGCTTTGGGTGTACAATGCTCAAGAACAAACCAAATAAAATATAAAAAAGTATATTTTTCGTTATTTTTCAATAATTAAATATCTTTAAGTTGACATTTAGATTTGATAAGGCCGAACTGCCTAATATTTCATCATTTTGTTGTCTCATAGAAGCACCTCTCGTTCGCATAATTTCTAGCACAAGGCTGGAACAAGACTAGCACAGATGTTGCCATATTTTCCAGTAAAAATTATACATAGACGTCATAGGTATTACAAATATAGTGCTTCTGGGTCTGTGGGATTAGTTAACCGTTGTCAATCTGATATTTCCACAAGGTTATCTCCGCTTAGTGATAAAGCTTCGTCGTCCAACTTCAGTAAAGCACGCTCTCTCCATTAGCTCATAGAAACTATGAAACTAATTGAAGAGCTTATGCCCCTGTGATAATGAATATAAAAGCCGATGTCGTATTTTAAAATTTAGAAGCGAAACTGATTTAAAAATACGCCCGAGCGGCCAAAGTTTGCCATTACGTGACATCAATGATGCGCTAAAAATTAAGTGTTCACCAACGCAAACAGACGCGTGTTGTTTTTTTTTTTATGTCACTACACTCAAAGGTGCAGTCCGTTTTAAGTTCTATATCTACATATAAGAAAAACATGAAAGTAGGAAAATGGTTAAAAAAGTCTGAACTAACAATCTTGCAGTGCACTTCACAGAGCTTAAGATCAGCAGCGGTTTGTTTGGTCATGCCTAATTAAGGAGAAAACGTCTTTCACTATCTTAACCTGAAGAATCAAGACTTACTTGGTCCTTTGTATCACTATCAATGAATCGATGTCAAATCATCAGTTCACACTCTGACAGTCATTTAGCCTTTATGTCAAGCTGTATACCTTTCATTCCTTGAAAGTTCCTTACTCCATATTCACTGAATCGCTTCAACGCGAATCTTGTACGCCTTTGGACGAATGGTCAGCCCGAACTTGTCTTCGATGGGATCTTCGGTTCCATTGCGAAGTTTAAGGTTTTGCAATATGGTGCCCAACACCAGGAATATAACTGACTTAGCATAGCTTTCTCCGGGGCATTTTCTGTCCCCTGCTGAAAACGCCAAGAAACACGGTGATCGTACAATGTTCTGTTTAGTTTCATCCAAGAAACGGTATGGATTGAACGTGTTGGGGTCTTCAAAGTACTGTGGATCACGGGAACAGGCCCACAGGTTAATAAAGACAATGGTTCCCTTTGGTAATGGGTATCCAGCCACACTGGTATCCTGGGTTGTGCAGTGGGGCAAAGCGAATGGAAGAAAGCTGCTCATCCGCAAGATCTCAAGAACTGTTGCCTCTAAAAGTGGAAAGCTGTTTCTGTCGTGGAGCGTCAAGGGCGTAGAACCTTTCACGCGTCTAAGCTCATCCTGCAATTCCGTTTGCACGTCGGGATGGGACACGAGGTAAGCCACAGCCCAACGGAGGGCGGTGGATAATTTTTCGTATCCCCCGCCGAAACAGTCAGCTGTTATATTAATCAAAGTTTCATCGTCAAAGTGTCTTGAAATTCCCTCCAAGGAGTCTTTACTGAAACGTTCGTTTCCAAAATCTAATGCATCTCTGTCGTTCACTACTTTTGTCAATGCCTCGACGAAGGTAGTGGGCATCCTGGAAAGTGACTCGTCTAAGTTGTTCAGGCTGGAATCACTCTTCAGGAGGAAAAAAATTTTCTTGACAAATGTGGTAAGTTCTGCGATGGATGCGTCAAGTTTTTCCACTTGTTTCTTGAACACCACTTTCATCCACGGCATGAAATCTACGCTGTTACCCACGGCACTATTTTCTATAAAATCTGTTGAACCGTCCATCATGAATTGAGCCTTCTTGACGTAAGCGTCGCGTAACTTGTCCCCGAAAAACAAACAAAACTGCAAACTACAGGCAAAGAATTTTAACAGGTAAGAAGGATCGAACCGGCCCTCGTCCGAGTTTAGGAGACTCTCGATTAACACGTGCGTCTCTCTAAGGACTATTTTGGAGAGGTACTTGTCATTTACAAGGATAGCTCGCATGGCCAATTCCGTCGCTCGCTTGTTGTTGGCGTACTTTGGACCAAACACGGGCCATGCAACTGTTCTATCACCTCGGCTGGACGATATAAAACTGTGCAATGGAGGGCGAGATGAGAAGTCGGTGCCATTCTTGAGAAGAGCCTCCTTAACTGTCTTGATGTCATTGAGAATCACGACCTCTCTGCTACCAAGTTTCATAGCGAAGACTCTTCCGTACTGTTTAGCGAGCCTTGTGACGTTCTTGTGAGGAGCTGATCCGAAGAGAAATATATTGCCAATCACCGGTAGACTCCAAGGACCGGGTGGTTTTCTCTTGACTGACGGTCTGGTGTGTCTTAAAAACAGCAAAACAACCACGAGAGCAAGGAAAATAATCACAATGGAATGCTCCGCCAACTTATCTGCGAGGTCTCCCCAGTACATATTGATAATTGATCTCTGTTTCTTCAGTGTTCGCTAAAATCGAATCAAAGTGATCGTTGTTCCTCAAGATGCGTACCACGAGTCACTAGGTACGCGAAATATCGAGCAGAGAGTTGCGCGTTTCAAGCGGTGCTCGAGAGGTTCTGGTTACGGGCACGCAAGGCGTTTTATAGCTGTTTGTGAGCTGATTTCAGTGGGAGGTGACGGACAAACAAACTTGATGCTACTACACTCTTTGTTTTTCCCGTTGGGTTCAAGGTTGACTCGCTTCAATGATTATGACAAACAGATTCCGGACAAAGCACGGGTCAAAAAGCAGTCTGCACTTAAAAACAGGAACAGGTATCGGGAACCGTGGATCAGACAGCAGATTCTTAGGAACGTGTCGAGGAAGTATTCAACTCGAATACGTGACCGAGACCCTTTTACTGTGCAAGTTAACATGTTCAACGAAAATAAAAGCTCTCATTGACTAATCTTTGTCTTGAGGGTGACAAACTAGGAACTCCCAATTGCAAAAACTAACATTTAAAATTCAATGGATCACAATCAAAAGGTCTCGATTATTATTTTCAAGCTTCCACAAGATAAAGTAATCAGCAAAAGCCGATTTGTCGATGCTTACTCGTTAATAGCCTATTCTTTGAGAAAGACGGATCAATGATCACTCAGCCATTTCTGTATTAGTTTCACGACAAAACGTGTCAGCCGCTCTGAAAATGTTCTGTTAGCAATTTCTTCACTTTTAAACATAGCAGGAATTTTTAACAGAGTACAGTTTCTGAGAATGTAACTCTTTCCGTTTTAATTATGACCGGGTCAGACAGCGCAATCCAACAGGGTCATGGCTGACTTCTTTTTCGGTGTCCTTACTGATGCGAAAAATGCATTAGTTATTCGGTTACCACATTTATTTTTGCGACTAAAATAAAATAGACATAAGTTTAATACTCTTGAGATCCTATTTGCAGACAAAATTCCACTTTCCATCACCCGCAGAAGCCCGGGACATCTATTCCTCTGGATCCATTCCAATAATTCCAAATATCAATCGATTCATTTGGCTCTGGCAGGATATCATTGATAAGCAATCAAAGTAGCATGATCTGGGAGAAATGGCGGGTCGTTACTGCGATTAAATTGTGGTTTTTAACCACCAAATACATGTAACTATTCACGTGCGCTTTGTACGGGTTTGTGGATGAGATCGCATGCGGACTGATCGATGTGTACCATAACGCTTTTGCGTATGGCTTGCGTGCCTTTTCTTCGAGGCGGCATTTTGACCTGTCTACAAGTTCCAAGAATCGAGGATGTGAAACTCTTCAAGAACCGCGCGTCATTTGTTGATAATCCTCTCGTAAATGGCCCAAGGAAGTGCTTCAATCAGTAAAGAAGCGCACAAGAAGGCCTTTTAGCAGAGGGCTACACTTGGTGCGCGACTTCGTTCATGTTTTGTTTGAATGAATTAAACAGTCTGAAAGATTGTTTGAATAGACATTACGGTTGGCCAATCCCAGTGATGGAACGCTAAAGATCAAGACATAACGATGATTAAATCTCATTTTTTTGTAAACACATTCAAAACACGAGAACAATTAGCTATAACGATTCTATGGAAGAAGCAATGTTCTTGCAATGGTGCAATGATTGATTAAATTTTCGTTCTATACAGGTGTTACAGTATCAATCAAGTTTCCTGCAGGTTAGCGCTGCAGTTCAATTAGCCCATTCAAGCATCAATAGCTGCCATCCATAAACATCAACCTCTGGACGGTCTTAAATTAGCGCAGTTTGTGTTTACCCAATCTTTTCGAGAGTAAACGACAGATTAATAGTGGAAACGTACTTCGAGCTAGAAATAACAACGCAATGACAAGCTGAACAAGGACGTCATCATTGAATAAATTTGCCTGATAGGAAAAAGACACGGAAATTGTCGACCCCCCGAAAGAAGTTTCAAAGGAACCGCCAGGTCAAGTATCCATGACTAAACTGTCAAAACTGCAAAGCACGTGCTCCCTTACAACCCATCCGACGACGCCCGCGTGACGCTCGGTTTCGAAATACAGTAAATTGCTTTGTCTCCATCGACGTAACATGCGCTCAAAATCTAATATCGAGTCAGAGGAGTTTGTGTGAACGGAAAAGAACAATATTTCCAATTATGAACCGATAAAAGGGCCACAAGAAGTTTACTGAAAATAATATTAATAAAAATGATGTTATCATAGCTATTTCACCTGTCCTTGCCGCCAAATAAGGGCATCGGTCCACGGATGCAAACGCCTCTGGCATGCGATAAGTGCAGGCTTGAACTTCGCCTTTTAACAGTCCCTAGAGATCACTTAAAATTCAACTTATTTCATCTGTTACGAAGCAGGATGCCTTCATGGGGTCTACAGGTTAACATTTAGCATGAAATAGTGCGCCACTGTCGCGACACGTGAATGGAAAGTCTTGTCCAACAAGTATAAGCTGCACTGCGAAGAAAAGTCGGGGAGGTTATATAAGATATTTCACTTAAACCACATAAAAAAGTACTCTTTTATGATTTTGTCGCCAACATTCCAAACTTGAAAGTGAAATTCTATTTGGGGCTAAGAGTAGGGGTAGTCATTCCATCTTCACCACACACGAGTTATGGACATGACCAAAATTAGCATAGTCACTGGGTCCATTCTTTGACCAGATAAAGATAACTGTATACAATTTCACATTTAACCTTCTCAGTCGACCTTCTTTACTGTTTGCGCGGAGGGGGTTAGTTTCTAAAGAGGCTGTGGCGCCCCTCAGTGGGGGCATTACAAGATGGTTTTGATCTATCACAGACTTGATAATGTAAATTGGTCACTGTAACTGACGTTTCGAACATTACCCCTTCGTCACAACAAATGAATTCACGCGCTTTCATAGGGGCCTCTCCCGCTAAAATTGAAAAAAAAGAAGATATAATTTCAATTCGCGATTGACGGGTTGTTTCAGTACTCATTAGGGAGCGTGACACGACCCTTATCCATCAAATGAACTAAGATGCAAATCTAAGCGCTTTAAAGTATTCAGAGGTCAGCGAGGATGCCAGTTTTGTTGACATAAAAATCCGAAGTTAAATGTGGCTAATTTACTACCTGTCAAAGAAAGACTTAGAATTTAGACAATTGTCAGAAAGGATTAAAAGACAAAACGATTTACCATCGATATCAAGACAATCTGGCCTTTCAAAATGCGAGAGACAAAAATGATCGTATATTAGATAAATTCGACGTTTTAGTAAAGCTCTGATATTTCATTTTAGTCTTATCGTCTTTCCCATACCACCTACGTGGCATACGTTTGGTTAACTCAACTGTCAGACTTAGTAACTTAATTCGAACAACAGACTTAATCCTTTCTATCATAAGATTAGTATTTATATTCCTCACACTGCTAACTCTGCATTTTATAAGGTACTGAATAAAGGAGAATTGATTTGACAATCAGAAGCTTCTTGAAATGGTGATTATTTCCTTCGTTCTCATAGCCTTTAAATTTGATTTAAGGGTGAAACTGTAAGGAGAAATAAGAAGCCGGTCACTTTTAGGGGTTAAAGGGTGAACCAAATCTTGACCTATGGCTTAGTTGACCCTTTCTTTTCTCCTAATAGACGCCGAGACTGGTGTGAATCGTGCACCAACAATTAACAATATCTTGTCAAAATTGCCACCGGTATGCAAAGGAAGGCAACGGTGGTTTGGAAATAAGAAGTCAAAATACGAGTAGGATGCGATAGAGTTGAACTCTACCACTCGCGATACCGCAGATCATAGCTTAATATAAGCGCGAAACCCCTAAGAGAAGGAAGAGTGGCGATCGGTATATTGACACTCTCCTGTGACTCCTGTCGCCACAGCATTCTCCTGTCTATAGAAATTTCTCTGTTTATACACTGATCGTAGCAGATCAAGAGATAACAGATTTCCTAAAGGTAGGAAATCTTCGTCATAAAACTATGATCATTTTGTTGTTGTTTTGCTTGTTCTTTTTTTTTTTTTTTTAAAGGGAAATCCGTCTACCCTCGGCTAAAAATGATTATCAGAATTTCAATTTAACAACAGGAACTGGACTGTGAATAAAGATTGACAAAGAGTGAGACTGGGCACAAACTTAGAGTTCGAGTACCCATCAAGGAACACTTACAATACATGTGAAATTATCGACCTATCTAATTAAAACAACCCCTTTTAAAGGTCGGTAGAACAAATGTCAAGGATACAGATCCAACTTTCCCGGACGTCCACGACAAGATAGTAAAATTCTAAACTTGAATTGAGTCCACCTTCTTACACATCCTCGAGTTTTTGCATCGGTGCGATTATTATTCCGTTTAAAGTCGCCCTAATTCGCGCGTGATGCGCAAGTGATGCGCACGTGATGTGCACGTGACTCGCGCGTAAGATATCGCGTAGTATCCCATGACGCCTTTTGCGATAAGGTCTTTATCACCTACTTATCGTGAATTCAGGAGATTCGTCACAAACCGACATAGCACCAACAACTTAGCTGGGTACATCTGTCACTTTTCCTTGAAGACCCTCCAAGCCTTTCTCAGCCACAATGCGTGAAACTTTTCTTGTGTTGGAGCGGAACTTGTCTCTAATAAGAAGCTGTTTTTGGACAGAGGAATCTTCAGCGCTGTAAGAAATAATAAGGAAAATCATCAAGAATTACACAACAGCTAAGAGGCCAAGGCTGCCTAAGCTTATCAAGGCATGAAGCGACTTGAAGTACAGGAAAAAGACGTGGCAAATAAATACACGAAAAAAGTGCACATGAAGGGTGCCAAAAGCAGTAAAATGTGCAAGTAGTTGTTGTTAAGACGCAGGAAAATCGAGGCAAACGAAGTACTTAGGGATCCAAACGCAGAAAATTGGTGAATAGTGCGATAAACGGAAAAAAAACTGCAATTGAGTGCTACCACATTTAGGTACACAGGTAATGGAGTAAAGTTAGACCATGGAATAGTGCTAATACTATTTTCTTACAGGTAATGGTAATAGGACGTACGAGTAATAAAAAAATCGGACGACCACGTAGCGGGAGTCACGAGTATGATTACACAGTATGATTACAGACCGAATTGGAAGACAAGAAGTCTTATTACCAATTAATCATAGCCAAGTTAGGATAGAAAAGGAAAACTGGCATTAAAAGACTGACAAAAGGAGGCTTAAATTGTTTCATGGTTGTGATTGGTTGATTTAAACTACAACTTTGAATGTGATTGGTTTATTGAACTGTCTGATAACAACCCGTCCGATAACAGTTTTCTAAACCAATCACAATCGAGGAAATTGTAATTTTTATGATTAGAGACCTTCACAAACCAGCCAGCAAAAGACATTCGTGAATGATCGTCTCCTAACAATTCGAATTTACATTTAGGCTCCATGGGCAGTAGAAGACAACACCCTGAACTCGGCAAGGTGAAGTAAATAAAGATTCGTGCCAGTTTTGATTAACAACACATCGCTCAAGCCTAACTCGCTCAGAGCAAGTCTTACCTTTCAAGAAGTTCAATACAAGCCGTATGTCCGTATATCTCCGCTACCCTTTTAGGCGTGTCCCCCGAGTTATCCGCAATCATGACAGGGGCCTGGTGTTCGATTAAGATCTTGAGTACATTTGAGCGTCCGGTCTCCGCCGCGCAGTGAGCTGGTGTCCAGCCTCCCACCATACGAGCGGCAGGATCAGCGCCGTATTCCAAAAGAAGTTTCACACACTTGGCGTGCCCTGGATAAAAAAACAGAAAGTACAATAAAACATATATTTAACAATGAGATTATGAGCTCGAGATTTCAATCGGAGGGCGAAGCCTAGATGCACTGTCACGCATAGAGATCAAGGGCAAATAACCGAATTGTTTTCGTCGTTTCAGTCGTTCAAAACTACACAACTAGGCAGGCTAATTTTTTCATTATATTTTGTTTAGAATTGCATACTGCCAGGCTTCTCACTCTCTTCACTCCTTGTCATGGAATAGATAGTGAGTTACGTAGCCAATCAGTTTGCAGAGCGCCCGTAGATTTACACAGAAAGAAAAGGTATGTATTGTTGTCGTGTAAGCATTTTGATGCTCTCTATATCTGAGATTGTTTAAGTTACTGTTCAGTATCATACCGTAAAACTTAAATATCGCGAGGTGCGCAATTCTCTATGTTCTGCCGAATTAAAAAGTCAGCGCGCTGTCGTTATATATCTAAATTACCAGTGTATCAGAGGCGTTTGATACCGTTTTTTCAGAACTTAAGAGAGATTGCACGTTCTGGAGGTTAACTCCTTAGTCAACCGTTGCCAGCCGGGAGGGTGAACAAAGACCCAGCAAAGAAGTTGTCCCTCGGCATGTTTCAAATTTCAGTCTCGGAATTCTGATCCCTGTAAAGACCCATTCGGTAAGAGTTTGATATTTCTTTGTTCGGATTTTAAAGATTTCTTTCGTGAATCAAGCAGTGCTGTAGGTCGACTTGAAATATTGAGCGAAAATCACTCGACGAATAGATCATTGTTAACCCAATTAGTAACATCATATAAAAACCCATGAACTCAGTGGACATATTTTGCTTCGGTTTAAAGGTAACATGGGCCAAACAGGTTGAGTATTAATAGGACTTTTCAAGATGAAACAATTTTAATGGATTAATTTCTGGTTCAAGCGTGTTTTATCTGGTAATAGGGACACCTTGTTTAGCGGACCTTAGTTCAAGAGACCAACTTGAGTTCCGGTTTCAATATTTTCACACTTGCCGTGCAGTGAGCCTTTCGTCTCAAACCAGCCGTATCATTTGACCAAAAACTGTAACGAGCTGAACGCTGCGAGAGGTCTTTCTCATCAACTTGCAATCAATTCTCTTTTAGACCAAAAACCAAAACAGGGGTGAACAGGACGAAGGACTCAAAAACAGTTGAACTAATGAAGACGTTTATGGCCCATAAGTTTGACGCTGAAGCATAACAAATATTGAGCTTGTTATCATTGCGCGAACACCTTGTCTTGAGCAAACGCTAGAAAGAACCATAAGGGTGTGAACCCAATACTAATTTTAAGGTAGTCATAACAATTTCTACCTCTGTGTGCCGCCCAGTGAAGAGCAGCTCTGTTGCCCCATTCCTCATCTCTCGAATTCACGTCGATTTTTCCACCTCTTATAAAGCTACCCAATTCTTCGAGTTTTGTGTCGTCTCCCAGGGCGCACGTCTCGTGTAAAAGCAAGTCGTGGCTGCTGCTGTTAAAAACCTGTTTGGTCGGCGGTTTTTCCTGATTTGTCATGCCCTTCGTGACGAAGAACAACACTCGAACGATAAAGTTTCAGTAAATTTTGTAAGCATTGAAGTTACTCGGGAATAAACAATTTGAATTTACATCTAATGGAGCAACAAGTGACGCAATGAAAAAAATTGGTTTGATTTCAAGAGTGCTATTGTTAAAGGTACGTGAAGGGAAACAATGATTGATGATTTTGAGATTTAGATCATAATGGCGGCGAACTCTCTAAGGACAATATACATAATGACAGCTACTGGTTAAGTAGTTTTGCTTGAGTTCTTGTTTGTAAACTGAACATCTAATAAAAAATTTGATGGATCTAAGTCCCACAGGGAACTGCTGGAAAATCCACGCCAGTTATGCAAGGCCGAAAAGTTAACTTGCATTCATCCCAGATATAATTTTCTCGCAGATCACACATGGATAAGTTCTGCGATGACTTTAAAAATATGCTGAGAAAATCCACTTTGCATATCACAAGAGAGAGACATTTTGTTCTCAGTGAACAGATGTTTAAACTCATAAAGCTAAAGGGCAGTATCATAACACTACGTAAATTAGTAGAGCGCTCTTTTGACAGAGCATTGTTAATTACAGTTATTGAGGGCAAAACCAAGAGCTAACGAGTACTCAGAGAAAACCCACAAAACCGAAAATTGCGATTGATCAAATAGCTACTAGCTTTGGTCTTTTTCATGCGATTGGATGTAAAAAGGGGCTGGCTAAAGATTTCTAGAGTATAACATATCGAAAGGCAAAACTAATGATTTTCAACATTCAACTGGAAATTATTTTGACTGATACTATAACCAGTAACCGCTGAAAAGAGGACTATTAAAACTGGCGGATTCTAAAATATCTTGGTCGGATTTGTTGACGGAGGAGCAAAACAGTAGGTAAATATGGTCCTTGTGTCTTCGTCCGTCGTGTCGTTAGGACCTTTCTTTTACATCAGCAGCAGTGATAGATCCAGGGATGGACGTGCGATTCTGAGAGAACAGGTTGTTTTGTTGTTAATTCGAGTTAGAATTTGCAGCGTTCCCAGGCTGCGCGGCGAGGACGTATCCATGTCAATTTTATTGCAGGCCAAAAATTCCTACTCGATTGGAAAAAAATACAGACTTTTGAATGTTTTCTTGGCAAAAAAACATGACGTAATCTCATGCGGATATTTCACAACACATTTTCGCTGAGTGAAAGAATCGCATCCTTTGTCAGAGGTTAAGTTTTCCAAGTGAATCCGTGCAATATCGGGCTACCTCACGACCGTGAAAAAACGCCGTTTTTATACAGTGTATTTACATTGGTTTAAGAATACTTTGAAAGAAAAAAACTTTCGGTCTGTTCCCCATCTTGTGGGATGAAAGAACGTCAGCATTCAATAATTGAAGGTGATATACGATTTTCTCACGAGGAGCTCGTTAAGGTGATTTCGATAACAGACTACCTCGTTGCGAAATTAAGAGCGCGCGCGATCACGCGCAGAACGGATGAGCAGTGCACCACGGTATCGCCTTATGCTGACTGAATTATCTCTTGCCCCTGGGGTATCTCGGAACAAACAGAGGCGAGGAAATTGGTCTCTAAAGCACCACTGACGACCCTGAGTAAACAGTTATTTCACAAGCGAAAAAAATCTTCAACCCTTTCATTCTCAAGATCTAGGTGATCTAGGATACAAATCTCCCTACCAATTATAGTAAAATTATCCTTAATTGAGTTCCGAGAATCTGGTTTTAATCAAGTGATCTTTTTCATTCTCCTCCTCACCTGTATCCTTGAAAATGTATACGTAGCGATATTCTGAGGAAAAATTCCTATTAGGTCATTCCTGGGAATTTAAGGGTCAAACAACGTCTCTCACCTTTGGAGGCCGCCCAGTGGAGCGCTGTACGATCGCCAAAGTCTTCATCTTTATAATCGACATCTATTCGGTGGATCATTAACATGCTCTCAAGCTGCTGGTAGTCGCCATTGACAGCCGCTTCATGGAGAACTAACTCAGTCATACCTTCTTATTTGAGAGCACTGAACAGCCTGCGGAGATTAAAGGAAATTCAAGCAGTAAATTACACTAAAATCAAAAACTGTCATCTAGGATTTTATGGGATGGGGCTGTTCAACCCCCGCCCCATCAACTCGCTTCTCTTTTTGCCACTAGCGTCCCACTCTCTCTCTTATCTTGACAATAAATCAATATCCTTATAACCCCCTACCTCCTGTGTCAAGCATCGATTCTGGCGATTGCTGTTCGCACAACTGTCGCGTTTTGCGGACGTAAAAATATCTCCCCCCCCCCCTCAACTATTCTGCGTTAAATGCGGCTAACACACGTCAAGGACAAGTACTGCACAATTCTGCGACGATTTAAGCAATATACCGCACTTTCTATCAATTTACCGGTGTAATAACCCACGCGGAATGTTGGGAGAACACGAAGAAAGTTTTTAAACTACGAGCCGTAGTAGAGTGGTTTTCAAACTTTTCGAGTGTTCTCGCAACATTGTGTAAAGAACTTCTTAAACCACAAGGAACTCTGAATTTTACGCAGAATGTGCCGGAAGGAAATAAATATCTACCGAACTCTGAGGTGTGTTGTAAATTATTTATTAGGTCGGAAGATTGCTTAATGATATTTTGTTTGACCATAGCATATAGCATACAGTATTGTGTATCCAGTCCCTCGCTTCACCGAGCCGATTCAATTCGCTTGAATAATTATGGAAGGAAATAATTTCTAGTTAGCGTGATATTTGAATCTTAACAACAACTCCCGACCGCTTCAAAGAAATACGACCACATCAGACTAAAGATCACTAGGGAAATTAAAATCTACTCACGTTCAGCAATGGCATCCAAAAATAATTTTATAAACGCCATTAAAATCAAAGCATATCCGAGCAAAAAGTTAATCTTTGTTTTACGACCTACACAATGCGCTGGCTAATAGGGACTAATTAAATCTATTCAGAGCTCGCTATGCGCTAATTATACAAAAGCTTTTAATTACTTGTTCCTTGGGAACGGTTCGACAAAAATCCACCACGAAGTAGAGAGTTAACACGTCTAAGTTGCATTTGCAATACAATAAATAACTCGAATCCGACACTACTGAGGCATTTCCCCCAATCACATCGGCCTGAACTTCCTTAGGTGTTACTTTTCGTCTGACTCTTTGATCTATGATCGTTTCTTCTTCTTCATAACATTCCTGAAGAGCTGGGTAGAACGGTTATTCAGAACTCGACTCCTCTCTCTCCCTTTTCCCCCTAATATTTAGCTGTATTTGTGAAAGAAAGCAGGGTACAGTTTACGAGCGGTAATCGAAGATCGCAGTTGTCTGACCGCGCTCATCAAGTTAAGCATACTTCGCATCCAACCGGCATGAAACAAGAAAAGTCACATCCTTTTCATCTCGAAACCAAACTAAAATTTCCCGTAAGAATCACGAGGACAAGACTTGCAGTAGGAACAGATAACAAAATTTGTCCCGATTTTCAGGCCTCATAAAAAACGCAAGGACTTGAACGTAAACATGATTTTCAGAGCAAATTGCGTACCTGAAAGAATGTCGTGACCAATGTTAAATTTATGATGACCTCTTATCGTTGAAGATGAACAGATTGCTGCCCGTCTAAAAGCGAAAGAACTTCATTGTCTGAGAAGTGTCCGTGCCAACTGATCAAAGGTTTTACACCGAGTTGCCAGACGCAAAGAACACTGGAACGTATGGAATGTTGTTATCGTTTAGATTATTTTCCAATCCCCCTCGTTTGAATTGATCAGGAGTGCAGATGTCAATCCAATAATAAAATTTAGCCTCCCACATTGACGAAACTTTTTGGGTTCTTCCTGCTAGTTTCTCATTTCCTTTGTTATGTCTCCTTTCCTCGTATACAACAAAAGTGAAACAATACATCCCCGGGAAGTCTAGAGAAAGTTTTGTTTAGCCAGGTTTAGATTCTTCGCTATCAAAATTAAAATGTTGTAAGTTAGCCTGGTTGTAAATAAAGGCCTTCAGGTCCACAGGAAGTTTCACGAAATCGAGGTTGACCGATGAAGTACTGGGTACCAAAAACACGCACAATATTACAAGAACAATTCGTAAGGAAGATGACTGATTCATGTGGCCATTTTACCTCGCATATTCGGTATTTACGAGCGTTAAATGGAATACGTAGGCTATAGAGTTGTAAGAGGACCCGACTGGAGATGGGGAAAACAAGATGGAGGCGAAGGTCATGTCGGAACGGTGCGAAACTTTGAAAGTAACCAAGAAGTTGTGGTTGTTTGGGACAACGGGACCGCCGCGAATTATCGATGTTCAGGCATTTATGACTTGAGAATTCTAGACAGTAGCCCAACTGGTAAGTTTTCGATTTTATACATGGTGGTAAACTCCAACTACATTAAACTTTAGTGGAAATAAATGTAAAATTCTCGTTAAATTATTGCAATCGTGATATCATTTTATTTTCATTTTCATTCACAAGTCGCAAACTGATTTTTTGGAACCGGCTTTCGCTACATATCTTGGCTAATCCGATCATGGACTGCTAGATAAATGTTGTCATCCTTTCATTAGGGTTGAAGTTTTTTTGTTAGCTCTGCTATCCTTTTATTATGAAGTGTTTAAGAATGGTCCAGCTGTTTTCTCTCTCATATTCTATTAGTTAAACTTCCCACCTCTTTTTGTGAAAGCGTTCCTGTCGGCGTTTAGTATCTACAGCACGTTTGGGAGTTTTTTTGTTTTATTTCCAGATTTGTGTCAGGTTTCCACTGTAATTCATATTAAAGCGTTAATCTGCTTTATTCCATTTATGTCAAAATTTTACAGCTCGAAATATCCCTGAAGTTCCCCGTCTGTTTGAAAAGAGGTGTCTAACTTCTAATTTTTAAAGTATTGGCTCATTCAAACAAAATTGTCGTCATAGAGAAAGTACTTCTATCACAAGTGTAGGACAGACTTAAAGCATAACCTCTTAGCCAGACTTAGGTGACAACCTTACAAAATTTATTTATCCTTTCACCTGGGAAATTCTAGCATGGTAGTGTGATAAAAACAAAAAATGTAATTAAATGCCCAACAACTCAAAGGGTAAATTTCACAAGGCAGTATAATGGCTCAGGGAAAAAGGAAGGAACCAAATCATGTTTGGTTGTATTTTCAGAATGGGAAAAGGAGGGAGTTTAGCAGTAATCATGTGAGGGATTATAACAATTGTATGACCTTTGGAGCAATTTTCTGATTTGACAGTCACAAACTTGCATGAGTTTCAGACAATAGGATGACATGAAGTCATGTTAACAATCAATCAAAACTATAATAAAAGTTAAGGAGGGAAATGTTGATTATTCAAACTTCTTCCTAAATAAATACATGGCAGTTCAGGGCTATAACTAGCTTTTGAAGTGTTGGAGAAATCACCCATAGCAGTGTAATGCACAGACAAGTGTCTTGTGACAGCAATCAATATCTTCACCTTTAACATATAGTGAACTCAGCCCTGACAGGTTTTATACATTCTAACCCTTTGTTGATAGCCTTGCAGTAGACTTTTTCCCAGAAGATACTGAACCTGATAGTTTAACAGGGTGCATCTTTTCACATCAGAATGTTTATTTATAACATAGAGCATAAATGGTGCACTCCAATCTCGCAATTCTTGATCTCTTGTGTAGACTGTCCTATGTCAATGTTGAGTTACAAGCTTTATAACATAGAGAATAAATGGTGCACTCCAATCTCACAATTCTTGATCTCTCATATAGACTGTCCTATGTCAATGTTGAGTTACAAGCATAATACATTCATGGTCCTGTTGGAGCAAGAATCAATCTGCTGATAATGAGTCATGTTTGAGAATTTTGCTATAATTATAGTTTTCTGTGACATGTATGATAGGTGTTGAATGGTTCAGACAGTCAAATTTTTGTTTCAGGTATAAAACATGAAGGCAGTATGTGCGAAGGCTGTCGCATGCAACCTATATATGGGATGAGGTGGAAATGTGCTGACTGTCAAAACTATGACTTGTGTAGTGTGTGTTACCATGGAGACAAACATCACTTGCGGCATCAGTTCTACCGGGTTTGTGGACCTAATTCGGAGAGGTACGATGTCATGTTGTCTTGGATAATTTTCAAACTTTAAGTCTGTTGGTAGTATAGTAGTATAGGTAAAAATTTTTGTTATTGCACTTATACTGATTTCCTCCTGGTTCAATTTGAAATTTTCTCTGTTCCAAGACAATCACAATAGCATTGT